TTTTTTTTTTTTTTTTTTTTTTTTTTTTTTTTGCAAAAGATCAGAAAAAATAAATGAAAAATTTGACAGGTAAAGTAAATAATGCTGTTAACAGATTTCTTTAATGTGAAATAAATTGATCTAAACTATACAGTTTACTGCAGTTTACTGATGCAACCTCTTCGGTAGATGTTTACAACTAAACTAGAACTACCCAGAAAGACTAGAGAAAGACTAGTCTTTTTAAATTCTTTAAAAAAAACAACTTATTGTTAATATTAAATCGTTTGAAACTAAAACAATAAATTTTAATCAAAGGAATTCGACGAAAATTATTTGGTCAATAAATTTTGACGTGTTTGTTTTGAAGTATTTAAACGTTAAATGTTCTAATGGTGAACATTTCTGGAATTAATTCACCACATTTTTACTGCCAAGAACTGCCTAAACTTGCCAAAAGAATGTCACATAGTTAAGTTGCTTCATTTATATCAGGGAAAAAAAAACCATAGCTTTAAAGTCAGTCTAAACATCTTTGTTACTGTTGAACACCTTATGGTCATATTTAATATTTAAAAATGTGTACGAAGACTTTGTTAATGCATTAAACAACTCTCAAAATTAATGACTGTAAAATAAAAAGTAAAATGTTCTAAGTATTTATATTTATTTTTTTAAAATTTAAACAGTATTTCAGCAAAAAAATGTTACAAACCGATTGCCAATGTGTTCCAAATTGTTCCAATAACAGCGAACACCAATATTGAACCAAAATTCTCAAAGAGTGCACGATTTGGCATAAAATAACCTTCAAAATGGCAAATATATAAAAAAATTCTTTCCAACTTATTTAATTAATCAACAAAAATGCTCATCCATTTTTTTTTTCACTACTATTTTAAATTTGAAATGTTCCAGTGAATATAATTGCTTTTACGCAAGTTTTTAGTAAAAAAAAATTTTTTTTACCAGCATCAAATATGATCGGAGGTAACAGATACAGAAAGAATGCAGTAGATTCAAGGGTGAACAAATGATCGTCAACATGATAGAGTTTTAGGCCAACCCCAAGTACTAGACCAATAATGATCAGCAATGAAGAATCTGGGAAGATGTCGGAAATCTTTTTGGAGATATGAAACACTAAAAATAAATCGGTAAAGTGGTAAGCGAATGCGACTGAATTAGCCAAATTTTTTTTCTGTAAATGCAATAATCTACAGTAAAAAATGTTCAGGGTTCAGCAGCAGTATCAGAGGTTCCAAGGTTGAAGAACAAACCAATTTTAGCAATGCTTGCAAGCAACAACCACACAGCAATTGTATACGGTTTTTCCACTTCTCTCCAGTTGTTTGTAAAAATCTAAAATTCAGAAGCAAATAATCTATCTGTTTGTTCATCGCCTTCCAAATCATTGTCAGTTGCTACTGAATACCAATTTTTATCTGTTGTCTGCAAACGTTCAATTCTACTTGATTCTTTATTCAACCACTGGATAATAACCACTTAGATTTGTTCTACCCCTTCGGTTAGACAAAAATTTTGCTGATGGTACAGTACCTATTTTGTTCTTTACAAAGTTCAACTTCACTCTTTGTATCATTCTACTGTTAGTATAATTGATTAAGGGTAAAAGTTTAAAAGTTGTTGCTGAACGGTCTTCAACAATTCTTCTTTTATCAAAGAAAAAAAAAAAACGATAATTAGAATGATAAAAATAAAAAAACAGCACCTCAAACCGTGTTGGATGTTGCTCATCATGAGCTTCGACATTCACTTCACTTTTTAACTTCTTTATTGGATCAGCAGCAGCAGCTATTGTAAAAAACACCAAGAAAAATAGTAGATAAATAAAATTTGTACAGCCCATTGACCAAATACTGTGCTTATTGGCTGTTTTTCTGTACATCTTTTATGAACAAAAACAGATGAAAGGATTGAAAAGTTTAAAAATGAACCTAAATTGGTGTAATTACTGTACAGTGAGCAGTAAGTAAGTATATTACGTAAAAAAATGTCGATGTTTCCTTGCAGTCAACTAGTAGCGTGCTAAGAAAAAAAAAACAAATCGTGAACAAAATAAAGAAACAGTTTCATATAGATCAAAAGAACTTTCTTTTTTGAAGCAAAATAAAAGTGAATGTATCTTTTAAAGAAAAATATGAAGTAATATATTGAAGTTACAAGAAAACAAAACAAAAAAAATATATCAACAAGAAACTTGGTTTTGCAGCAGTGTGACAAATGAAATGACAACCGATAAAGTTAATAAAAGTTGAAAGGTGAAGTACAAAAAAGTAAAAAAAAAAAACTAGAGAGAAAAAAGAAAAAAAAACAAAAACACAGAATTTTTTACTAAAATGTTTTTTTTTTTTACCTTTATTTTCTTCGCAATTTTCAAGGTTGTCGTCAAGAATAATGAGGTAGTTAAGCAATTTTTGTTGTAAAAAAATAATAAAATTACCGCTAAACCTGTTTGTTTTTTTGTATGACAATTAAAATTGCTAACCACAAATCAATAAACTTTTAAAAAAACATATGCAGAAGTTGAACGAGAAAAAAAAGTACCTAAATGACTATTAAAATATGACATTAAAAAAAGAAAAACAAAGATGACAAAAATTGATGCTCCAATGATTGAAAACAATTTCCAACAGAATTCTGTCATCAATTTTTGTTGAAGTGTTAACTAAACTAAACTCAGCAATGATACCGATGACTTATACATCTGTTTAATCAACGTAATAACGAGACAATTTCAATATCAAATTCCATTGAACTATACTCTTACATTAGCAGATCGCCTTCAGTAAATGTTGTTGAATCTGCCATCTCGTTTACCCTCTTTTCATTCGCTTACAGTACTGACCGATAAGGACTGTTCAACGAACAACATAAATTATAGCCAAATTGATCCACTAAACAGGGTCAAGAAATAATTCTTTCTTATATCATAAACGGTTTGAATTTGCAAAAAGACAATCTTCAAAATAATCAATATGTAATAAGCTATGAAGAAAAAAAACTGCTGATTAATATCCAAGTCGTTCAAAAAAAAAAAAAAAAGAAGAAAAAATTGTTTTAAAGGAACGATATTTTAATGTAATATTTCTGAGAATCTTTCTGTATTTATCTGTAACTAAAATGATGCAAAGGTGCTCAGAAGGCTACAGAAATCACTCGAACGACAGATAACTACGTGTTCAGAACGATGACGACGACAATAGCCGCGACGATTGCGGCGTAAACGATAACGATAGTGACGATACTGTTATTTTCGATTTTTTTTCTAAATTGTCAATAAAAATAGGTTCCTTACAGATGTTTATAGACATGTCTTCAGTATTGTTGTCAGAAACCATCTCCAATTGGTGTTACCTCTGATTAGATCCACTATAGTTGCAGTTACAGAACAAAACCAGAATTCTACTTTAGTTGTTGTTTATAGAAGCGGTACAGTGAGTGATAATGTCTGTCAGGAAAAGAAACTTGATGTCTGTGAATTAATGATAATTGTAAATTAATGATCAGAAAAAATTTTTTCTAAAATTTATTTGAAAACAAGTAATTTTACTTGAGAACAACTGATTGATATGACAAAATTTTTTTGATCATATATCAACACTGATTAAAAAACTTTAATTTATTTTGTCTACCCTTTTCTTCCTTGATTTATATTTATGATTTTAACACTAATAAAAAAAATCCAAAAATTGATCTTTGTTTGAAAATTTTAAGTTCTACAAAAATTGAAATTATTTCTCTTTTAATTCAGAAATAAATTTTGACGGAATTTTTTTTTTTTATTGTTGCGTATGACCACCAAAAAATGTCAACGAGACACATATCTATGTATTTTTTTTTTTTTTTTGTTTCTCTGTGTGTATATATTGAAAAGTTTTGAGAGAGGGGGGAACGGGAAGTATGTTTGATGTATGTAAGCAAACTGGTTTTACAAAAACTTTTTCAGTGTCTGACGCACTGAAGACTAAAAGTTTAACAACTGAACAGAAAGGAGATATCAAAGAAGGGGGGCGGGGGGTGGGGGACAACGAAAGAGCAATCAGAAGAAGAAGAAGAGAAAATAAGATTGGAAAGCAAAAAACAAATATCATCCATTTAAATGGGAATAAATAACGGACTAAACAGGAAAAAAGAGGAAGAGTAATTGCACAGTCAACAAAATGGTTCACCAAAATCCTTCTAAACTTTTCCACTTGTCAACTTTTCTCCTCCAATGTTTCCTCTGTTTTTCATCTATCCTTAACTTTGTTGCTTCTATTAAAGCTAATAATATTTGACTAGTTTTTTTTTAATTGGATTAAACTGCTGTTACTTCAAACTATGCTTGACAAGACAAAACTGTTCACAGCTACTGAGTGTAAA